ACAGAAAGAGCTTCAATCTTGCTCAAAGCCGACGGACTACTCCAGTCACCCTCATCTGTGATCTGAGTAGCTATGGTACGAAGACCTTCAGCCACCTTGACGAAGGCAGGGGGAGCATTTTCGCTTGAGTTCGCATCCAGCCAGTAATCATCACATGTGCGGATAGCGAGACTGATCTTCCTGATCTGGTCCGAGCAATCTTCGGATTCCTGCTCGGGTTCTTCTTCGAATGTCTCTTTACCATCTTCGACGGTACTCTGTAGTAGCTCAGTCCGCTCGCGCTCGTCGGCTTCCGCATTCATCGCGTCCACTTGCGCGGATTGCGAAGCGAAACCTGCAATCTTGGCGAGGCGATTACACATAATATCCAAGAGGTTTCTGGTACGAGAAGACTCATTCTCAGCGACCGGTGACTCTTCCCCTATCTCTTTTGCATCGCTCGTGGGATCGACATTGACTTTTATCGGGGCAGAGCCGAAGGCATCGTCGCTGTTGTCAGCTCCAGCATGATCAATAGACTCATCAACCACAAGCTCTTGATCTTTAGTGTTCTTTGGAATGCTGTCAGCCTCACCCGGAGATGACACAGCCCTAGTAATGTCATCTTCTGCTGGAGGGTTAAAGTCAAAACCACCACTCCAGCTTCCAGCGTCGAACCCGGACGAAATCTTTGGTACAAAGCCGCCCTTGGGGGGCTTGAATGTAAAAGCCGAAATTTCTTGGGATACAGCTGATACTGCAGGGGCTAACAACGGGGTCTTGGCTTCAGCAGACTTCGGCTTCTTAGCTACATGAGCTTTGCCATCCGTTTCGACGTTGTCTTGAGAGACGTTGGGGAATACAGTCTTACATTGAACCTCTACGGGGGTGATCAATGGCTCATCCGGCTTTCCTTCAACAGTCTGAGGCAACAACAATAGAGACTGCGGAGTGGTCCGAGGCACATCCGGCTCGCGCATTGTAATATTGGATGGGATGATACCGGCTGTTATCGGCGCCTGGAAGCTCAAGCCTTTCGTATCAAATATGGAACCATGAGACGTGGACTCGTTCTTAACAGGCAACGCTGGGCGGTTGAAAGTCTGGGGAGTAGACCAAAATTGGTTTGATGCAGTAGCATACGGGTCAAAAGGGCCAGCGGGATTTCTGGTGGAAACCATAGTAAGTGGCTCAGACTGTTTGCTGGTGTCTTTCCATATCTGGGAACTATCGGCTCCAGACATCTCCGTATCTTTCGTTGGTGTTGCAGGGTTGGTTGCGAGTCCTCTGGCGGGCATCGTGTCCACCGCCTCTTTTTGGACAGGGAGATTAGGATCATTGTCCGACATCTCCACCTCTTGCGACAGCAGGTGATAAGAAACACCATCCATGGCCGTATCGTCTTGTACGTGAGAAGCCTTGGAATCTGGGGAAGGTCCGATCGACAGGGATCCGGAATAAGTTACCGCAGCAGCTGTGGCCCCAGAAGTGCTGGCATTGTTTCCTACCAACGGTTGATTGGAGCTGGTCAAAAGTTCTTGAGATGTGTCTGTATCTTGCCAGTGAGCTGAATCATCTACCTGCATAGGCTCTGTTTCTTGGACAGACTCTACTGCTTGAGATTCGAACGAAGGAAGTGACTGGAAACCGAGAGGCACACTGGAATCAACTGACTGATTGCCAGACTGATCTTCGGTGTCGCATACAATACTTTCACCAGCATCATCATCATCGTTACTGTTGTCAGACTTTGGGGAGCGTGGAGATACGAGCTCCTGGTTGTCATCTTCGAGGAACTCATCAGACAGCCCGTTGCCTCTAGCGTCGTCTTCGCTGTCGTCCGATGCTGTGTCGTTGCCTCCAGCCAGGTCAAACAACTCGTCGGCGGTTTGCGAATCGAGGCCATGATTACCTGGGCTACGATCAGGGAGACAGCCCGTTCCAAGATGTTTATCATAGTATTGACGGAAGTTTTCCTCTCCGGTGAGATCTTGGTCGCAGACGTTGGTCCAGTGTTTACACCACCGGTACAACATTGTGCACTCATCCCGGACAAGCCTCGCTTGTTCGACCATAGATTCCTCAGCAATGACCCAGATATCTTCTTCTCGGGTTTCAGCTACAGTTCGAGTGAAGAAGCCGGCCAATGGATCATCTGGTAAGAGTCTGCCGGATATTGATTCGAGGGCACAGCGTAGTTCGCACCGCAAAACCGATCGATCGGGGTTGCGATGAGCGTATCCAGCAAAGTTCTGCTCACCAGTCATATCGTTCTCGTGCAAAAGCTGCCAATTCGTCGTCCACTCCATCAGATCCATCTCAAAGTGATCCAGCTTATCAAGGTACTTGTAGTAATCGGGTTCATCGGTCCACAGCCGTGTCTCCCAATGCGCCGCTAGTGTGGTGAGTTGAATGTCTGATAGCTCGTGCGAGCTGTCCATATTCGTTTTGGCGTCGTCAATTAAAGTTCGAAGTGTCGTCCGATGTTCCCTTCGCTTCTGATCCTGGACATCGAGGGACCCATTGAACTCTTCGGAATTCAGTAGACGCTCGTGTCTACATTCTTCTTCCCTTTGCTCCACTTGCTTCCTCAGTGTAACGATAGCCCCCTCTGAGCATTCTTCGATGAGTTCGCTGAATAACGAGTGGCCTGTCTTTCCAGTGTTTTGAACAACCATGTCCCAACTATCACGGCAGGTTTCCACGGTATCCAAGTCGTCATACAGGCTCTCTTTGTAATTGTCGAAGCCTCCACCCTTCTCTCGTGCCTGTAGAAGAAGCTTCTCCTGCCATCGATCGATGATGTCATCCGGATTATCCGTATAGTAAGGCAGATATTTGGCCACACAGTCCTTGAGATAAGCCTTCTTTGTCGCATAGCCTTCTTCCTCGTCCTCATACTCATCTTCCGAACCGATATCACTGTCATTATCGCTGGTGTATGATTCATCAATGGAGTGGCGCGTCTCTTGCCTGTCATCGTGTTGGGTGGATGCACCGGAAACTCTTGTTTCAAGGCGTTGTCGTATGAAGTCAGAAAATCTAGCTTCGCCGGTCATATCGATGTCCTCATCAGGGTAGCCATTCCTATATTCAGCCCAAAGATGTAGAGTCTCGCATTCTCCTTCAGTATGCTCAACATGCTCGTGAACATTGAAGCCTTGCTCGCAGGCTGCGATCCAGTTCTCGTCCTCCCATTTGTGAACGACCTGTGCGATGTCGAAGTTCGATAGCGGGTGAGACATGGGAAGTATAGCTTTCATCGTTTCAAGCTCGTCAGTGAGGAGTCTGCGCAAAGCTTGACGATGCTCGTCTTCGGTAGACACAGGTTCGTTCAAAGATCCGGTGCGCGTGGTGTATTGGAGCTGGTGCGCGTGATACTTTTCGATATGGTCGACAAAGAACTGTCGGCCAGTCCGCTTGTCTGAACTGTCGTCTTCAGCTGATCCCCAGTTTGTGATCCACTTTGTCAAATCCTTGTCGGCAGCGTCGATGCTCTTGATATATGCGGAAACCCTGTCAACGTGCCCGAATGAGACATCCCAGAGTCTTATCTCCCAGGACGCTGCAAGCGCATCGGCTTTGAGATTTGACATCTGATCCGTGGAGTCAAAGAATGTGCATATGTCCTGAATGTGTTCTTTGATGAGCTGACAGTTGATCTTCCTCGAGTATCCCTCATTGGCTCCCTTCTCTTCTGTGCTGGGGTGTTGTTGCTGGATGATTGTGTTCAAAGACTCTGCTACAGTGTTCATGTCAGGTGGGCCCATGTTAGCAGTCAGGCTAGGGTCGTAGTCTTGACCGCGCTGCTTTCTTGGACGCAGTGGCTTGGGCATGAACCTGGGCTTGGGCGCGTTTGTTGCGTCAAGCTGTCCGAAGCGGAAGTCGAATGATTGGCCCTGCGAAGACGACATTGTGGCGGATTGAAAGCTGATTTATGGAACAGGAATGGGGGCTACTATGGCGTGCGTATGGAAATAAGTCTGTAGGGATGATGTCAGGAGTCTAGTTTGATATCGCCATGATGCGCGTTCAAATGCAGGACACTGGGGAGTGGGTTTGCTAGGGTCAGAGTACTCACATCGCTCTGGCGCCTGTGTATAGCCGCAATTGCACTGCTGTCCTTTTCTTCGATGAGTCGATTGCCTGTAAAGTGGGATACACGCACAATAGCAGATTAGTATTCAGATGTTCGCTGGTCTAGTGTGCTGTCTTGCGGGTCGGAGTGAGCAAAATTAGATACTGAAGTTGGATTCTAATATTTTAAAGTCGCGTAGACAGTGGGCAGTGAGAATCAGAAATGCGGGGTGGTGTGGACGCAGTGGGAGCGGAAGTGAAAGTGAAGGTGGAGTTGTTTTTCTTTGACGTCGTCAGAATGCCACGCTGTGCAGCGACTGGACGATGATATTGAGTAAATAACGATAACGATGAAAGACGCAAAGAAAGCTCTGACAGTGCTATTGTGGAAGATGTGGTGAGCAATACATAGTGAAGGATGTTAAAGTGGGTAGCCACATCAGCTAATACTACCTTTGTACGTACTGAGGTCATTGACATTGTTTGCCCACCATCAATCGAGCTGATGGCTACCCCCGTTACGAATAGAAATGCTGCATGTCTTTGACTACTGGTCTCATAGCGTCGCTCTTGTCAACCTATATGTCTTGTGCGGAGGCTTCAACAGATATTCTCTTCAAAGTTGGTGACGGCTAGATGAAGTCAACAACAGCAGTCGTTAGCGGTCCGGTTCAACAGAGATCCGCAACCTAGACGCGTAGTGGGAGCATTGATGAATGTAACACAGACTGCGATTTGGCAGAGCGAAGCGGCTCAATGCCCTGAGACGCCAAGCGCCCAGTAAGGACAGAACAACCTCGGTGGTACCGCGTGCAAATAGTGGTCTCCTTGCTCCTGACCTCTTCATTTCATACTATACTTTCAAGTGCTTTGGGCGCCATGTGATGCACCGTTGGATCGCTCCGAGCATGTGGACAAATGACCGCTGCCCAACGAAGGTACAATTAGTGTAGCAATGGCCTTCCAAGTGTCGAGACGGGATGTTCTTGAGTGACGGCATAAATGGGACCAGCAGCCTGATTCTCTGTATCGATACCAGCGTCTGAAACAATTTCGGGTGTCCAGGGTGTGCCGTCAACTGGATTTTTTTCCAGCTTGCCTATGAGCACGTCTTCTGCCATCTTGACATTCACCAGGTTGCTGTCTTCAATGTCTGGTCATAGCGTTTGATTGATGGTAGATTCGAGCGACATAGCGGTACCGAGGTACGGCAGTTCGACGTGTTATGAGGGTGAAAGCATGGCAGAACGAAGAAATTGAGTAAGTATCTGCTGCCGGAGAAGACGAGGTTTCCGGTAATTAGTGGGTCTTGACACAGCCAATGGGAGACACCGGAAGCGCGGCCGTCCCGCATTCAAATCCTTCTTCATGTGGTTTGCCACTCTAGCTACACTCAACTAATGCCAGTGGATTTGCACGCGACCATAGTTCGGCTATACTTTCTCGAGGCTTGAGCATCCGTTGTGACGATGTATTTTGATGTTGCAGCTAAGGCATCGCATCGATCGATGACCTTCGGCCCGGAGGAACGCGCCAGGCCGGGGATACCATGCGACTAACAAAATCTCGCCAGCTGAACGCGCCTGACGCATGTGAACAGCTTGTCTCTACCATACGTACCAGTGTTCGGCGTGCAGCACCGCATAGAGGGTCGCGATCGCCGTACCAGTTCACACGTCCTACTCCATCGCCACCATCAGTCGGCCTTTTGGACCGGCCTCGAACGTCAATCCGTCGCGCGCCATTTTGACAGCCTCTAGCTCCCGCGATATACTATAACTCTGCATAATACCCTGCGCAACCTCTGCCTTTGATGCTGGGCAGTAGTTCGATATACGTCTATCTCGATGCAGTCCAAGGGCGGCGCGCGCGTTGCTTTCTTTCCAAAAGCAGATGCAGCCGTCCTCGCATCGAGACACGCTGCACCGGCAATATCCGAGCGCCCTACCACGACCGCACCAATATTCGATCTTGAGCATGCCGATAAACCTCTGGATTCATGGACCGCAGGCCAAGTCGCAGCTGTATATCCACACAACCACGATATCTGGTCTCCGGCGCCCATACCTGCAAGAGCGCAATGTCCCACCAGTATTCATGCAGACAGCTATCTCTTTCCCGTGTTGACGCGGAACGAGAGATTGAGACTGACCTTGTTCTTCTATTACACGCGCGGGGCGCTTGAGGATGTAGAGCTAATGTCTCGCCTCCAGGAGAAAGTCTATCTTGCGCATGAGACAGTAGGCTGGGAGTTTGTTATCGCTGGCCTTCTCAACCACACTACATACACCCGGATGGTCACTGTGAACCTCCCCCTTGCAATATTACCCCGTCGCGAGAGTACATGCGCCCACACCATCAATCAACCACCAGGCGTAAGTGAGCACTTGTTCCCACATTTAGCCCGCGATTAATTGGAACAGACGGTCTTCGCTATGCAAAACATGGCTATCGACTGGCGCTTTGAAAAGTCGCCCCATGTCGAACAGGGTGGGTTGCGCGCGTATGCTGGTGTGCCGTTGAGATTCGAGACTGAGTTTGGCGAGCACGTCGCTTTTGGCTCGCTATGTGTCGCTTCCAATTCTCCGCAAGAACCTCTTTCCAAAACCGTACAGCAGGCACTTGCTAGACTCGCCGACTGGATAGTTGCGGATATAGTACACAGCGCCAGAGCTCGGCGTCAACGCGAGCGCAGACGGATGCTTGAGCTGCTTTCCCAAGCTCAGCAGCACTGCGACGACCACGTCAACATGGAGGAAGTGATACCTCGGATGCTCCAAGATGTCTACCCTAACACGGAAGTGAGTATCAATCTGATCACAGATGGTCAAGCTACCCTTAATGGTGGTACAAGCTTTCGCACTTGTGAATTGGAACAGGGCCTCTGGGAAGACACTGCTTGTGAGTGGCAATATATAAGTTTCTCTACGACATACACTGACCTCACGCCTACTCTTTTCGTAGACTTTGATTATGCCATCGAGAACCTGAATCACTTGGATATGACTGCCCCCCGGGCTGTTCGAGTAATTGCGGCGCAGTGCACCAGCCAACGTGCGGCGATGTTCCTGGTTGTAGCCAGCAATGATCTCAAGATGGTGTTTGACGATATAGATTCATGGTTCGTACACATGTGTGCGGTAAGTGACGACATATACGAAGATGCTTGTGTCTACCAGTTGTATGACAATCAAGATTGCTGCCTAAAGGATACGACGTCATTAGTCTGTAGTCTCAACATGCTTAAGACTGGGCGAGTATCTTCATGGTCGTGCTTGAGGTACAACTCGATGAAAGCGAATTTCTTCGTACTCTCCCTTCAGTGGATACATACTGACTCATCTTCGTGTCCAGAATATACTGTGTCGTTATTGGCAAGGCCGCGCACTACAAGAAGCACTCAGCGCTAAGGAAACCTTCCTCCGCGGTATTACGCATCAGCTTCGAACTCCCATTCATGGCATCCTTGGTTCAGTCGAGCTTTTGACGGAAGAGCTGAAGTCGCGAAACGTGGTTCCGTCGACAGCCGCCTCCTCACCTACTGCCAGCCCGGATATCGAACAGCTCGATCCTTACACTTATATCAAGACCATCAAGACTTCTGCGAGAGAGCTCATCTCCACAGTAAATAGCCTTATCAAGTTGAATCAATGGGCAGATATTGCCCAGGCGGAGCGCATTCTAACTATGCACAAGATATCCGAGATCGAGAACGCTCTGCTCAAGGAAACCCTACTAGGACTCTCTGACGATCTTTCAACAAGGCCATCATTTATCATTCAACACCATCTTCCGCCGAGCTGCGACTTGCTCGCTATCGATAAGCGTGTTTTTCTAGATTGTATTCAGCCGCTTATGGTTAATGCTGCTCAGAATGCTGCTGGCGGCATAGTAGCAGTCACACTGTCGGTCACGGAAGGCTGCCAGTCTCTCATCGTCAATGTTGAGCACAGTGGGCATAAGACGTCTAAGGGATATTACGACCGCCTGTTTGATGCTCACGAAAAAATTGATCTCAGTGGCACAGATACTGCATTGGGCTTGACATTGGCGAGCAAAGCAGCGACTCTTTTAGGTGGCGAGATCACACTGGTACGCTCGAGCCAAGGCCTAGGCTCACATATCAAAGCCACGTTCAACGAGCCCATCTGTGCTAGCTCACTACCGTCTTCCCGTGCAGCAAAGGACAGGTTCACCCGACTACCGCCAACTTTCCATCACCTCGCATCGGAGTCTTCAACATCATCTCTGGGCTACTACTTCACCCAATATCTCTCAGGTGCTGGCTGGTCAGCGTCCCGGACGCTTCATGACAGTTTCGTGATTGTCGACTATACACCAAATCTCGCTGAACTCTATAGACACACATCAAGTATAGGTACAGAACAGGTTGCAATCTGCCTCGTTCCAGAATGCGCATGCTTTCTCGACTTCCATACCGAACGAGTCCGGCGGCAAGGGAACGTGGTCTACGTTCAAGGTCCTTTTCTGTCAGAGACACTTGAACAAGCACTGGAGCACGCAGATGCAATCTCGGCTGGATTCCGATCGTTCACCCCGGATGCAGGGGTCAACGCAACCGGCGGCGTCGCCATTGAGCCTTTTAGCCCACCGTCCACACCCCACACGAACGGGCGTCCGGGACTTCCAGCCGAGCGGGGCTCAATATTTCCTGAAAAGCTACAAACTGAATTGGTACAGTCTGTACGGAGCTTGCGCATTCAAACCAAGCCTACTCCCACTCTGACACAGGCTCCGGTGGCGTCGGACAAACCCTTGACCCTACTTGTCGATGATAACGCCGTCAACCTCCGTCTACTAGAGATGTACTGCACTCGACGTAGCATTCCATTCCGGAGCGCAAAAGATGGACAGCAGGCTGTCAACATCTTCTCAGAAGTCCTTGTACCCAAGTACGATTCACTTCTACGACAAAGCTTACCCACACAGCCTTTCAAATTAATTCTCATGGATCTTCAGATGCCCGTGTGTGACGGCATTGATGCAACAAAGCAGATACGACGGCTGGAAAAACAGCATAAGCACGAAAGAAGCGTCTTATTCATTGTCACTGGTCAAGACTCTTCGAATGATCGCAAAGCTGCAGAGGACGCCGGCGCAGATGAGTTTCTGACCAAGCCAGTTGGGCCCAAGGTCCTCGACCAGTGGGTGAAGAAGTGGTACCCCGATCTCGACATATGATGAATGTACTTTGCACATTGCTCTGTTACGAAACCGAACTTTTAGAAACTGAAAGTCTCAAACACATGATCTAATAACTCATGTATCGCAATCTTGCCTTCTCTGGAAATGTACGGCGACTTCGACGGATGCAACAATGTTTCGTCTGCGAAACAATTATCGTCCCGTTCAACGAGCGGATATTACACGCCAACGAACCTACGGATGGCTTCTCGAGAATATGCCGCGGATACAACTCCAAAGAGCACAGCATCGCAGCTGTTCTGGACAGCGACTGCTGCAGAAGCGGAAGCTTGGCGAGAGGAGGTAGGCAACCAGTGGGCGAACTGGTTATGATTGTACTCTCTCCAGTCGCGATTATCCTTCGTAGAAGCATCATTAGCATCTAGAAGTCATGAGCCGAGTGTTCGTTGGTTTCGCACACCGGCGTCATGAGTGCTCTACTTACAGGAGGCCAACTTGGATAGACATATTACATGCTGTTTCCTTGCTGTACGCTCAAGAGACGCGTTGTGTGTTGATGGTGCCAAGTGATTACGTCATCTGACTGTGTACATTGCCTGCGCTGGGCGTGTCTTTACGCCCTGCCCCTCACATCCCGCATTGTACGCAACTCATGTTGCAACCTCCGATTCACCCTTATTTCGAATGCTTCTCATACAGCCGCTGATGACTTGGTTGTTCCCAATCGCATAAAAGCTGTCGCACTGTCTCTGAGCGCCAGCAGGCACAAGTCCTCCATTTTTGACCATGGCTCTATCATGGTTGTCGTACACATGCATAGCTATCCTTCTTGCTACGGTATACATCAGGCAACGGCTTCGTGTCCGCTCATCTCAAGTCGAGCGCGACGTAGAAGCTGAGAAACCTGGTCGTCTGAGGTTTGACGATGGACTAACGGCTTCTGGACGACAGTTGA